GATTTACAGTGCAGGTCTATCAAGAAAAAACCCCTATTAAGTTTAATGGAGATTATTCCTAGGAAAGTGTTAAAATGACTGCAGTCCTAAAGACTAAAAATAGAACCTTGAGGCAAGGGCTAGCAAAGTTTATAATGAGAACAAATCCATTCTGACACTATAATCAAATAGGTAGAAACACACACAAAAAAAATACACAAAGACTTTGCACACATGAGCCACGCCATTCTCAACATGAATAAAGTCTTTCTTATAGAGCAAAATGAAGGTCCCAATTTAAGTAGGACCAAACAAGTGATAAAGCTCTACAATTATTACAAAATATTCTAAATGGAGTTGGCCCAACTTTAACAAAATCTACAATATAAATTGAGTGTAAAAAGCTGTTGCCTGATTGTAGGTTGGTACAGGCCAACTGGATCCTTTCTTTCTCTTTCTGCTCGATCTGTATTAATACCTATTTCATTTCATTTCATTTCAGCTCCCTTTAAAACTAAAAGCAAAGTAATATGCTATGGCTATCCTTTCTCAGTGCCCTGACAAGTCCAAGGGAGCCTGGATGGGGGATAACAGGCTTCATCTGAACCCTACTAAGACAGAGTGACTATGGGTAGGCAGCTCCTGAACTCATGACTCTTGCTTGCGGTACAGGTGGCAGTCATAGTTGGGAGAGCCTTTACTGGACTTTGGACTGTATGCCAGTTACATCCCTTCCGGGATCAAGAAGCTCTCCTCTCAGTGAATCATATCCTGTTCATCTCTGAGATGGACTACTGCAATATGCTCTACTTGGGACTATCCTTGAAGAGTATCTGGAAGCTGAAACTGGTGCAGAATTACAACAGTGCGAGCAGTTTTGGGTGCCCCTAGGATGTTGCATATAACACAAGCTATGCAAGCTGCTCTGGGTACCAATTTGCCTCTGGATCCAATTGAAGGACATTTAAAGCCTTTCATGGTATGGGACCAGAATACCAGAGGAACAGTCTTGTCCCAATTAACATTGACATATCCCAGCTAGACAAGCTGTGTTTCCCATCAGCCAAGGAGTTTTGGCTGGAACGATATAGGAGGAGAACATTCTCAGTTGCTGCTCTAGCCCTATGGACTATTCTATCCCCCCAGGAGCCCCCACTCAAGTTTTCCAGAGTAATAAGACCTGGTTTTGCCAATTAGCATGGGAATCCAAAAATATAATGCAGCCCTGGGGATGGCTGGTGGCCTGTGAATCTCCTGCTCCTTATTAATCTCCTAGTTCTTTGAATTTTGTATCCTGATCTTTATTTGGATGTTCTAATACTTTTAATTGTTTTAATTTATGCCTTTATTCGACTATTTATATGATTTCATTATGTTGTAAATGCTCAGAGTAACTTAAGTGAGATGGGAGGTATAGAAATTTAATAAATAAATAAAATGAACTGAAGAATCATTACTTCTGAATATCTTCTGAATATCTTCTCTCAATGTATCCTTGCTGCATGAAGCTCAATAGACCAAAATGTTTTTCAGTTATCATGATGTCTATTTGAAGATATAGGTAGATAGGTGTTGTTTTACTTTGTTTTGGTTTATATTATTGTTGAAATGTCTATGTTCTTTGGGGAATAGTATGATACATTTTTTTTAAAAAACCGAAGTAAATAATAAATATATCCCACCTGTAGAAATGAGGAGTGTTTGGGAAGAGAACAATAATCATTCTCTGCAGCCTCTATTACTTTAAATGCAACTTAAACAAAATCCTAGTGGATTGGGCCCAAATTAATTAGCAAGAAACCTACCATTTTAATATTTAGGCAGCAATCCCAAATGAACTCTGAGCCAAGGCTGTAGGGAGTGAAGCAAAGCTGAAGAGATCAAATCCAACTAGTATTTATTGTAGTCTTGAAATTATTAAAGTGAAAGGAATCAAGGAAAGGCTTCATAAAATCAATCACTTTCTAATTTGACATCAAAGACATCTTCAAATAATTTTCTTATACCTTGTAAGGAATTATTATATCCATATTCCTAACCTATATCCTTGTACATATATGACATTAAAGCAAGGTATGCATAATTATATATTTCTGAATGTATTATTTTATTGGCAGGATTCACATGACATATTAGCAAAACAAGGTTTACAAACCATAATAGCAATGTGTTAACCCAGAAACAAGAAAAATACCTAGCTTGTTATGTCTATACTAGGTGTCAAACTGCCGGCCCATGGGCCAGATGTGTCATGGCAAAACCGCGCCCACTCCATTGCCGGAAATGGCAAAAAAGTCACAATATGACACATCACATTGTGAGTTTGATACCCCTGGTCTATACTGTATGATTTCACCAGAAAATAATTAATAGATAGAGGGAAGAGCAAGAAAGATCCTTAAGCAAACTATCTCTTTTACTTATCATTAAGCCTATATGTTAGTAAGTGAAATAATAAAAATAACTGATGTTCAAATAGCAAGATTTATCAACTATAAATATACCCTATAGTTTCTCCATATCTGCCCTATGGGAAACAGTGCAAAGAATTTTCCAGAATAGCATTAAATGATGCTCAACCATGGGGTCAAGTCAAAGTCTTCTAAAGGTGGAGGGGCAGAATAGCAGCAGATGCTTTAATCTCAAACATAGAGTCCTGATTAAATTATTCCATTTGAAACTGGAGATGGATCAACATCAAGACATCAACACAAATATTTTGAAGCACAGTGATAACAACTGTATTGCAATATATTGGGTTACTAAAGTCTTTTCCACACATTCTTAGTTACTCAGCAACTTCTTCAATGGACAAAATATTAAACTAAAATTAACACACTTACACATACAATATTGGATGCAGCAAAGCACGTGGGGAGGGGGTGGTACTGAAATGGACACAGCACCCTATGTCTTTCAGATTTATAAAAAGGCCCTGGACAAGTTCCACTGATTTCAAGATGACTAAGTCTAGACACAACCTGTTATTATTTCAGCATTTACATCCCTAGGTTTTACTCTTATCACAAAAGCTTGTAACTCAAAGGAGAAGTGCTATTATTTCATTTCTCCCAGTTTCCCAGTCACTTGTTTCATCTTTCCCTCTTCAAAATCAGGCTTTTCCTCCTTTTTTATGGTGGAGTTGTTATGCTAGTACTATTTTCAATTATGCACTAAATTGTATTTTTAACCTTGCTATGTCATGATCTAGAAGCCCAGCATGTGAGAAGCAATTAGACTCTAACCCACTGATCACTTTTTGGCAATCACCATCTGGAAGGATGCTACTGTGTCAATTCTGTGTTAGGAATAAATCCAAAATTCACCAGGAAAAGGAAAGTTCTTTAAAAATTAAACATGAAAATATCTAAACAGAAAGGGTGGGGAATACTAAACTAGTTCATCCTATACATGCCTGTTATAGCTTCCACATGTGAAGTTCAACAGGGTATGCTTCTGAGTAAGCCTGTCCAAAATGCAATTACCTACACCACAGCAAGATTGCTGCTCTAGAGGCACCTTGCTTCATTGTAATATCTGTATAGATGCAAAAAGGAAATAAAAAAGAACCAGCAATTTTTGTCCACAAAATGTGCTGATACGCTGGATTGTGGGAAGAGATACTATAGAAACTTGAGTCTAGCCAGGTAAATCAGGCGAGCATAAGTTAAAGAGAGTAACTGCCTTTCATTTTTTGGGAAAGCAGCTGAGAAACAATCTAAATTTCTAGGCCACCTAGAGACAGCTGAATTTCAGATAGAATGAGTAGAACATAAAACATAGTGGGTAAAGCTGCCAATTTTAAAATCCACAACTGGATTATTAATGTGTATCTTTGGTGTGGGCATAAAATATTCAAGTAAGCACAGAGATTGATTTTGTAGTATGTGTACCCTAATCGGATGAGGGTTATCTTCCCTTTAGCAGCTAATTAATTGCCAAGCCAATGAAATACCTTTCCATACAAACTGCAGGTGTCACAATCTCATGCATGGAAGCCTCACTTGGATAACTGCAGAGGAAAACCCCCAAAGCCAAAACTACCCTGTTCCGAAGCAAATAAACTGAGTGACTCACAAACGGAGTACAAAGCCCAGTTCCCTTCAGCAAAATAAGAGAAGTGTTTTATGAGCTACTTTTAAACCTTTGCCTTTTTTTCCAACCTGCCTTCCAAACCCCCAATCTGCCTTCAGTCTCAGACTGTGTCAAAACAGGGGCAGAGATCTCAAGTCCAAGTGGCTGATTGCTGCTCAAACCAATGACTCCCACCAGCAGGAATGAATGGGAGCTGAGTGAAAGGGTTTGTGTAATTCTATACCTCTGGCGGATTCTAAGGCATGATAACATCAGCTTGATATGCTGAAAGTATTCACAGGCACAAACTCTAGGGAAAAAAAATCTTTCTTCCACAGTTCTGAAAAGGAACTGAAAAACTTCTTGCCATCCCCAATTCCTCAATCCAATCCTTTCCTTTCCTAAGCATTTAATGGTGACAAGCGCGATGGGAAGAGGGAAATCTCTTTCACACCACAGACCTCGAGAAAGTTTCACATGTAACTAAACCTGATGCTTCCAACGAGCTGAATCACAGCACCGCCAGCCGATACATAGTTCGGCGGTGAAAGCCAGGAGTTTGCCCTTAATGGAAACCATCTGCTGTTCAAACATGGAAGGACGGTCGCTTATTCGTTCAAGAAAAGCAGAAAAAGGAGCGGCAATCGCTACACTGAAATACACCAGGGGGATCAAGTGCTCTTTACCCTTCCTGCCTGCCTCCCAGCGGTCCTGAAGCTCCGAACTTCCTTCCAGCGAACAGACGAGCGCGGGCCACCGACTGAAGCCGTCCTCGGAGTGGAAAGCGGCGAGCGAGCGCTTCCGAGAGGCTGGGTTGTTTGTTTGCTCGGCGGATCAGCAAATCAGCAATCCCGGGAGGGGTTTCCAGGCTTTCAACAGGTGGAGCCTCCCTTTGTGAAAAGGAGGGGACCGAAAATGGAGGGGGAGCGGAGGGGAGGAAAACTTACCCAAGTTGGAAGGCTGAGGAGGAGCCGAGCCGGGCGCGCCTTTGTGTGCGCAGCTCTCTTCGGCTGCAGGCGCCGCCGCCGCCCGACACTGGAGCCGCGCTCTCCCGAGTGGCTGCGCCTCAACCGAGCAGCTCCCGGAGGCAGCTCAAAGGACCGGCAGTAATCGCCGCGCTCAGCGGGCTGTCCATGTCGCGAGGAGGCAGCAACCTCGTCAGCTGCCGTCGTTTGAAGCCAGACAGCCGCCTCCACAAGTCGGAGCGAAAGCGGCGGCTTCCACGAAAAAGGAAAGGCGGGCGGGAATGAGGCGCACCGTCAGGGAGAGCGAGGGGCTCATCACATGATGCGCCGGAGCGCCCGCCTCTGCTCGCGCCCTCCTGCCAGCCCCGCCGCGGGAAAGGAGGAAATCAGCCCGTAGCAGACACACCTGAAGAGGCTGCTGCCCATATCCGTCGCCCGCACAAAGCCAGACAGGAAATGGAGGGACCAGGCCGGGGAGGGGAGGGGAAGGGAGGGCAAGAAATAACAAAGCCGAGCAAGCAGCTTGGGAAAGAAGGAAAGCTCTCCGCCCGCCCTCTAGCGCCCGACGCCTCAGTAGAAAGTGGGATCTTCGGTAGCCGCGACTAGAATCTCCGGATAAAAAGGCACGGAACGCGCGCCGGGAAGGGGCTTCTTCGCTTCTCCCTCTCCGCCTCATTGGGTTCTCTGCCAGGCGCTCAGGCTTCGGCTTGCTGGTGCCAGGAAGCGCCGCTATGCGAGATGAAGGAGGGCCGCGTGGGTGTCAGCCCGGTTTGGCCCTGGAAACCTGAATTGGGACCTGTAGGGCCTCGGAGTTTGCGTCCGACCAGACGGCTGGGGAGCTTTTCCCTCCTCTAAGCGGCTAGTTGAGGAAAGGCCGAGTATCTTTCTTCCTCCTAAGCGCGTTGGTGTTTGAAAAAATTGGAAAGAGTTCTCCCCCCCCCCACCCCGCAAATCATTCAAAATATTATAGTTTAAGTGTGACTTGCTTTCTTCTTTACACTTCCTAACAGCGCTGTGAATTTTTACTCCTGTCAGTAGAAATTTGCACAGAAATACATGGAAAATTTCTGTCCATGTGTTGTGAAGTTACAAATTATCACCTATAGGCAGTTTCCTTGCTCGTTAATGATGACTTTTTATTCCAGGATGTGAAGATCTGTATCTGAAAAAAATCCTGGAGATGTACTATTGTTTTAAAAAAATTAATAAAGACTTCATAAGATAATATCATTTCCTGGGAACCCAATGAGCAGCTGGTATAGGAATCCAGTATCGTTTCCTTTGTTTCTTTGTTATTTCCCAGATCTGGGATTTCATTTTTTTGTGGTCCCCTGTTTAACTACCTATCAAACGGATCCAACCCAGCTTGTTCTCCAAGGTCAGCCAAGGTTGGCTAGTGGTGCCATCTACTGTGACATTTGCATAGCTACCAGATATTTTAAATTGGAATACAATGGATTGGCAGCGTTAGAAAGTTTGTTATTTTGACTGTTACTTAAGTATTCACACAACACTTCTTAGGAAGATAAAATAGATAAAGGTTGTCAGCATTCCTACTAATGGTAAAAAGACAGGTCAGCTTTGGGACATTTTGTTCCTATTCCATAACTATAATAACGCTTGTTCTTCTATGCAAGGGTAGGGCTTCAGCTATTGTTGTCTGTCTCTAAGCATCAGTGTCTGTAAGTAGCCAAAAGACAATGAAATGACACAGCACAAAACCTGTTTTGCATCTCAAGGTCATGACATTACAGTGTCAACACTTACCTCACCCTATAGTGCCTATGTATACAAAAGGTACATGCAGTATATTGACACACTTAGGAGTTGGCTGTGAGGAGACTTGTAAAAGTGAATTGAATGGAGTATTTAAGAAATACATCTATTAGAAGAAGAGGCAAGGTGAAGAATGGACAAATGAATGAATGTGGATTGAATAAAAAAATCTGAACTGTATCAAAGATGGAGAAGTCAAGATGAGAGTTAAATAGCAAGCCAAATACATGAAGGAAAAGTGAGTTGAGGTAAAACTGAGAAAGTTGTGGCTGGATGGAATTTATGAGATCCTGAACAAAAGAAAGGTGAGACATTTAAAGAATAAATTTGAGTAATAGAATATATATAATTATATACTTTGTGTCATTATATAGATTTCTTATCAACTTGAAACATTCTACATGCTTACTCTGAAGTAAGCACAGTGACAAGAGTGTCATCCTAGAATAGCTAAAATCTACTAGCATTCACTTGGCTGTATATCCCACTGAAATAAGTAGCCCCGATTTCCAAGTATGTTTAGTTTGTTACTATAATTGTACTTACTGTTATAGCCTTAGTTATTTAATGAAGGCTTCATGAGCACAATACTTATTTTCTCACATATGGTTGCAGGTTGCTAGGCTGTAATAATAATACTTAGATGGCAAACAATGCATTTCAAGCATTCAAAATACATCCCATATATTATCTCTGTAATTTTTATAGTAGCCTTCAATATTACAATGGGAAAATGTTTGGCAACTGGTTATTGCATTTTTAAGACCGGGTTTAGCAGCAGCCAAAGACTGCAGCAGTGGTGACAAAGATTCCAGGTGGTGGAGGTGGGGCTTGTTTTGGAGAAAATGATAATTAAGTTTGAATGCAGCAATGTTTTACCTTGTTTCTGTCCCAAAACAGAGGGAAACCATGCCTCTATTTCTGGATGGCTTCCCCCCAAGAATTCAGAGCCGCATTACTGGAGCAGCAAAACAATGTTAAAACAAGTTAATTTTTTTAATTAGAGTTGAAGTTGGAGTACATCATGAATTAGATTGTGACTAATAGCTTGCGTAAGGCTACATACTGACAGTATTCACATGGCACATGAGCCATGGTTGATTAATCATGGTTGGATTCAGCAATTGGCTAGGTGTCATATCATGGCAGATCATTAATTGGCTTCCAATAGCAGGCTTATCCCCGTATCATGCACATCATGGCTTAATCCATTGGCTCAATCTGTTGCATGAGGCAGTGACGCGAGATCACCATTCTCGGGAGAAAAAACACTAAAGACCCACAGACTTATGGCTAGAGGATGGTCAGGACTTTAGCTTCGTTAATAGGCCTAGCCCAGCGCTGTCTCCCACCGCCTGCCACCATCTCTTTCAGGCTGCTCCATCTTGACATGGATGGATGGCCAAGGGCAACGTAGTCTGTAGGAGTAATCGTTTGTCCCAGTCTATTTCGACATTCCCTTTCGCAAGAGCTGCGGCGCCTGGGCTTTATTGCTCGGTTCCCACTCCTCCGGGCTGTAGCCTGGCCGCAGAAGCATCGAAATCAAAGGCAGTTCCCACGACCGCCCGGTCAGCTTTGCTAGAGATTAACGCCCGGAAGCCATTTCCTAAAGACAGCCTTTTCGCTGTCCCTGGCCTTGGGGACTAGTGGCTGTTTCTCCTTCCTGGCCCTCATGGGCGGGGGAAGAACAAGGGAAAGTGATTCAAGACGAATAAAGGAAACAATACTTTCACTGCCCTTGGCTTCCCCCCGCTCCCGCGCCCTCGCCGCCCATTTCCTTTCCTTTCCCTCCCCCTGTTCCCAAGCGCGATCTTTCAGCAAATCACAGCAGGAGCGCAGGATCTCTTCTTTCCTTCCTGTCTCAGCATCTGTCGAGGTGGCAGGGAGCGACGAACCCATTCCCTGCTATCGCTGTAACCCCTTCTGGACTCTGTCACCTTCAAGCCTCAGTCATCTTTCTCTGCTGTCACTGTCATCTGTTTCCCCTGCCGCTTGAATTAAAAGAGGAGAGGGAAAAGCAAAACCTGCAGAACCAAACAGATCTCGGGAGGCGGGGCGAATGGCTTACTAGTAAAGTAAAATGTTTTACTGTGTTGAATTAAAGAGAAATTAGCTGCTCAGAGAGAAGGCAAGTTTACCCTAAGGAAGGAAGGAAGGAAGGAAGGAAGGAAGGAAGGAAGGAAGGAAGGAAGGAAGGAAGGAAGGAGGAAGTAAGTCATATCAGTATCCTAATAAGCCACAATTAAGGGGACTTAGATACAGGTAAGGATAGCAAACCTTAAATTCAATGAAATTCTGATTTTTGTTGATAAGTGATCCAAGTGACCTAAAGGAAATGGTAACAATAAAATAAAGCTAGTACAGTTCTTGATTTACTTTCTCTTACTCCATTCTCCTTTCATATACAAACACCACACTGGAAACTTTTTCTTAAGTAAGCCACTTGCATCATCACACCTGGGAATTGCTTGTTTACTTTATAATCTACAATTACTACTTCATCTGTTTATTTATCTTTTGCCAGAGACAATCCCAAAATAAGGGAAAGGATCCATTCAAAACATGCTATAATTTTGGGGGAAGACACAAAGTAAGCAAGTCAGAGCTGTTCTGAGACCCGAATACCACTTAGATTAACCTAATGCTAGGAGAAGAATTACATATCACACCTATTATCTTCAGATAATTTTGTTGTGAATGCTTCCATAAAGAATTTATACTCAGTGGAATTCATTCACTCATAGCTATTCAGGAAAACTATTCATGAAAAACCCTTCTTCTAATAGGACCATGTCAAATTATGTATCTAACATGGCTCCTCAAAATCTGTGTTGTTAACCGTATCTAAGGTAAACTACTCTGTACTCAAGTCCTTATAAACCTTAGATAAACTAATTGAATTGCTTTAATTTCTAGTTCATAAACATTTTTATGGAGATACTTACACTTGGGTTCTCTCTTAATCCACAAACGGATTGTTGTTCCATAGTTTCAAGATTCAAATTCTTCATCAGGCTTTCTATTAGCTGACATTTTCCCATGTGTTAGCTGAGATTGAAATTCCAAAAGGTCATCTGGCAAACAGTTCTGGGAATTGCAAGTTCTAGAGACTATCAGGCTGGGAGAGGCTGCCTGGAGCATTTGGCTGTTAAATTATTGACACTTCTGAATTGGTTGCACCATCCCTAGATGTCCAAGGAGGATGTCAACATCAGAAACCCAGTGGGAATGGCATTGTGATTGAAAGTTTGCAATACCACACATACCATGTTGATGATTTTAATGTACACAGATGCTACTAGTGCTATCTGCAAAATGGGGATATTATTTGCTGTTTTATCTTTATTATGGCTGGCTATGGTTTTTTCATTTTGCATATCTTTTAATGAGATAAGATTTCAGTAACTGAAGGTAGACATTTGTTTACTAATTAAAATTAGGCCATAAATAGGTTTCATTGAAGAAAGCAAAAGGCTGCTAGAATTGTTCTTTTATTATTTGTGCATTCCATGTTTCAAGGGCACTGGAGGGTGGGTAACATGATCATGTTCACATGACACCTTTAGCAAGAGACTGCCACTAATGAGACTATATTATCATTTTTATTCTATATCATTATATGTGATTTTTTAAAAATTACAATTTCAATTTTAATGGTGACCATTTGAACAAGCTAAATTGGAACCTTCAGTTAGAGGAGTGAGAAGTGGGGGAATAAAATGGCATCCTGCTATGATTTTTGGTTAAATGTTTTATGCAAATATAGCCTTTGTCTCACTTAGAGAGAATTTAGCTGAGATCACACAATGCCACAAGCCATTATTTTAAGGATAGTTTGATGAGAAAGTCACCATTGACAGACCCCACCCAACATGCTAATCTAACCCTCCCCCCAAAAAACCCCTTATGTTTTAGTGTATTGTGTGAATCCACCCTTCATTGCAAGCTCTTGGACTAGGATACCCCAAGAACATCAAGAAAGGAAAAAGTTCAGAGAGTCAACTCAAATCAGAGAGCAAGTCTGATTGGAAAAAAAGAGAAAAAAAATCTTGGAAGGTGCTAATTTTCTGAAAATGTGATACACAGAAAAATTGCTGTCTGCTCACAGGAACTTTTTTTTTGCTTTCACTATGCTATAAATTTTAATCTATTTTTTTAAAATGCCACCACGTAGCTTTGATGAAAGCATTCCTGACCCACCACCATATCTTGCTATTCAGAAGTGATCTAGCTTTTAAGTGATGAAAATAAGGTAAAATAGTGGCATTGGCAAATACTGTATTCTATGTGTTACCACTCTGTTCACATTTATTCTTGACTTGTTATACTATAATATGAACATCCAAGTCCTAGTTAGAACCGGACACTGAAAAAAGTAAAAAGTCCTAAAGGCAGATGGAGGGTCTGGATATTAAACTTCAGAAAAACTTAAAATATCATAGGATATCATATCTGTCTTCCCTAATACAACAGAATTCATATAAAACATGAATTTCTAATAAATCAGTCACTCTTTACTGAATTAACTCTGTTTCTGGTTGTATAGGACTCAGAGTATCTACCTTCCTACCTACCTACCTACTATCTTCAAACATGCAAACAAAGATAAAATATGGTTAACCAGTTTGTGGTTCAGTTAATCATGCAAACATAGTTATTAATTACCTTCTTTTGGAGATATTCAAACAAAATATCCTACAGTTTCTATTTCAATATCAATGTTTTGTGACTGTTGAACACTAGAATTCATGGTCTTATCAGATGTTCACTCTTGGGATAATAGAACTGCTAATCTGGTAATCTTGGATTCTGCTGAGTGAGTGGTTGTTCTCCTGAATGCCTGCCTTACAGTCCTGCCTTGACAGTTTTACTAATCAGCCTTCAATCATTCAAGTTTGAAAATGTCCTAGGGTAAATGAACTGTATGGAGGTGTACATGAACCCACAAATCAAAAGAAGACTCAGTGATCACCAAAACTGAAAAGAAACTGGTAAAATATAGATTTACTACATGTAATGCTTTCAAACATTAGTGGATTTTGTGGGGACTGTCTCTATTTTTTTTTCAAGCATTTATAGCTGCCACAATTGAACCAAGTCAAAATAAAGCACACTCAATGGAATATACCTGAACTTCTAAATACACTTATTATGGTGTAAATCACCATTTACCCACTGGGATTTATGTTCCATATAAGACATGTCTAGTTTGTACTGTGTGTTAGATTTATTCATTGTGCCATTTTCTAACTTACATGAAACATTTAGGGAACTAAAAATCTAAACGAGAGAAAAGAAATTAATA